TTTACCAGGCCTTAACTTAATTTAAATGGAATCATGCAGTATTTGTTCTTGTGTTTCTGACATTTCTTTTGTTCAGCTTAATATCGGAGATTCATTCAAGTTGTCATAGTTGTAATATTTTTTGTGTTTTTTTTTAGATATTCCATTTTATAAATGTAATATACACAATGATTCATTTTCAGGTGTACATTTAGGTTGTTTCCAGTTTGTAGCTATTAGACATGAAGCTATCATTAACATTCTTGTCTTTTGGTACACATAAGTTCTCACTTCTGTCAAATAAAAATTATACAGCAATTGTTTTGGACTAAGCTCTTGTACCAGGCCCCCACAGACCAGACTAAAGAATCAAAAGGAGCCACTGAGCTAAAGTTCTAAGCTGAAACTGTTCTGTTTATCTCACTTTCAGAGAAATCAGGATTATAGAGATAACATCCAAATTTCCAAAAAAGGCCAGTTTTAATTGGCATAATAATGAAATTTCCCTGTGCTTTAATATTTAAGAGAAGTAACCTGAAATAACTGAATGTTAACTTGTGAGTTAATTTCTATTCTGTCTCCCTGAACCCTCCTTACAAGGGAAATAACTTTGAAATGACCCGTTTTTGTTTTGTTTTTGCTTTTTTCAGTCTCTCTCTGTCCATAAAACCAACTTCCTTTGCTTTGGTCTTCAGAGCTCTTATTCTTTCATGAACTCAAGTATTGATTTGGTTTTAGAATAGAAAATAAAGCCAATTAAGATAATTAAACTAAAAAGTTTACATTTTACTTGAGTACTTAGAAGTGTGAATTCAGAATCATATGGCAAATTTATGTTAACATTTGTAAGAAACTGCCAAACTCTTTTCCAAGGTGACTATTTTTTACATTCCTGCCAGCAGTATATGAGGTTCCTTTTGTGAAACTTTCCACAGACACATCTTTTGAGTTTCTCAGAATCCACTTGACTCATTGCATGGTCTAGGAGCCATGGAGTGGAGAGGAAAGTGGCTCCTCTTGGAGAATGTCTGCTTCTTCTCCCCATGACCCTTGACTTAGTAGATTTCTTTGCAGATAATGTGAAATCTCAGTGTATTTACCTGTGCAGAGAGGGTCCTGACCCAGGCACTCAGAGGGTTTAACTGAAGAAGGTGTAGTGAAGGAGATACTTACAAAGGTATGTGCCCAGTTAAGGTAACTTATAAGGGACGGACAGTAGAGCACCCTGGGGTCAAAACCAGCAGGAATCCCTCACCCTCTATCTCTAGTCCTGAAGAGGAAAGGAGAAGCAATAGTGGTACCAGAAATCAGAGAGAGCTGGACTCCATGGAAGAGATGCCATGCAAAGGAAGCTGTAACCATAGAACATAGCCAGAACCAAAATCAACCCAAGGCAAGAAAACACTGGGGAAAGGGAATAAGAACCTGACCTCTCTCTTCTTCTACCTTCAGAATTCTTTCAGAGCTTCTCATTGGTCAAATCCAGTTAGAAGTCAGAAGGCAAATATTAGTCAGAATTATCCAGAAGCCAAATATATTAGGATTCTCTTGAGAAATAGAACCAGAAGGATATAAAGAGAGGAAGAGACTTATTGTTAGGAACTGGCTAACATGATCACAGAAGCTGAGAAATCCCATTCTCTGCCACCTGCAAACTGGTGGTGAGATTCCAGTCTGAGTCTGAAGGCTCCTGAGTCAGGAGGCTGATGGTGTAAATTCGAGTCCAAGGGTCAGAGAGTCCACAGGCAGGCAGGAAGCAAAAATAGTAAGCCTCCTTCCTCCACAGTTTTGTTCTGTTAAGGTGCTTAACAGATTGAATGATGCCCATCCACATTTGGGAGGGTGATTTTAATAAGTCCACCAAATCAGAAGCTACTATAATCCAGGAAAACTCTCAGAAGCTGGGCAGAGCGGCACATGCCTGCAATCCGAGTGGCTCGGAAGGCTAAGACAGGAGGATTGTGAGTTCAAAGCCAGCCTCAGCAAAGGTGAGGCACTAAGTAACTCAGTGAGACCCTGTCTCTAAATAAAATACAAAATATAGGGCTGGGGATGTGGCTCAGTGGTCAGGTGCTCCTGAATTCAATCCCCAGTAGCAAACAAACAAACAAACTCTTGGAGAAATGCCCAGAAGCAGTTTTTAATCTGGGAGCACCAGGGTTCAGTCAAGCCAACACAGAATTAACAACCATCATAGCTGGAATGTCTGAGTCAGCCTGGGCAAGACAGACAGTGGCAAGTTGAGAATAACCAGCATGGGTATCTCTTGTGCCTCTCTGTACCCATTTTTGTGCCCTGTTTGAGTGAAAATATTTGTGTCTTTAGACAAAGTCCCATCAGCCTTTGTATCATCATCATCATGTTGGCTTTGTCAGTTCTGTTTCACCCAAAATCTAAATTGTGTGTTTAGCCATCATTAGTGCTCTTCAGGTAAAAAAGCAAAGACAAGACATAATTAAATGCTACCACTGCAGCCTTAGCCTCTGTAGGTGGACATGGGCCTGAGCTGAGAAACCAGAGCTTCCTCCTTCTGCCACCCCATCCATGTTCTCCATGTCCCACCGGCACTTCAGATGGCTAGATTTAGTGGTAGGTATGTTAGTCTAGAGTTTTAAACAAACAGTTTTAAATAACAGAAATTCATAGTCTCACTATTCAAGAGGCCAGAAGTGTAAAATCCAGATGTCCTCAGGGCCATGTTTCCTCCAAAACCTCTAGAGGATCCGTCTGTGCCTCTTCCTCACTGCATGAGGGTTGCCAGCCGTCTGTAGTGTTCCTTGGCTTGTAGAAGCTGTCTCTCCAGTCCTCCAGTTTCTTGTGGCCTTCTCCTGTTCTGTTTTCACATGTCTTCCCTCTGTGCATGACTGTCTCTGGTCCAAATTTCCCCTTTTTATAGGGATGCTAGACATATTGGATGAGGAGTCGTGCTAGGGACCTCATTTTGATTTGATTACCTCTGTAAAGACACTGTTCCCACATCCTGAAGTGCTGGGAGTTAGGACTTCATAATGTCTTTTGGGGCAGAATGCAATTCAAGCCATAATAGTGGATAGCCTAAATCTTCTCATATGATCTAAGCTCTTAGTAATTCTGTCTTTATAAAAGAGTTCCCCACTATTATTGTTGAATGTGGGAATAATTAAGGGTTTTGACTGAATCCCAGACACAGCCCTCCTTACTCCACTGTTTGATAGCAGCACAATCATCCCAATAGTCAGGATCGGTCATCTTCACAGAGTAGTAAGTCATTCTCTGCCTGTTAGTTCCTTAGCAGAGGGAACCCAGAATGAGCAAGGGACAGCCTAAACCCCCAACAGAAGTATGTCAAAGTTTACTGGTGCAAGCTTTCTCCTCTTGGTCACCAAGACACACATTATTTGAGATACCAAAGCTCCAGAGATGAAGAAAAGATCCTAAAAGTTTCCCAGAGACATAGGACTGGGTATCAGAATGTAATTAAAATTCTCAACAGAAAACTAAAAATCAGAAGACAAGCACTGTTGGTCAGTTTTTTTGTCACTGTGGCCAGATTACCTGACAAGAACAATTTAGGAGGGAAAGTTTGCTTTGGCTCWGTCTCAGGGGTCTTTGTTCATAGATGGCTGACTCCATTGCTTTGGCCCTAAGCTGAGGCAGAACATCATGCTGGAAGAAAGCAGCTCAGTTTATAGGATCCAGAAAGCAGAGAGAAGGCAGGGGCGAAGAGGCCACATGGAAGATGCATTCATCCAGGTACAACCCCAGGAACCATCTCCTTCAGCCATACTAAGCTGGTCAGTCCATCCAAACCAGGCTCGACTGATTAGATCACAGCTCTCTTAATCTAATCATTTTACCTCCAAACATTCCTGCATTAATACAGGAGCTTTTGGGGAACACCTCACATTCAAAGCCTTAAAACTGTGAAGCCAAGATATCTATATCCATCTAGACCAAGTTTACTCCTGGGATTCTCCCACTGCCAGCCTAGTCACAGCTTTCCCAGGTCTTTTGAGGCAATTGTTATTTGTTTCCTACTTTTAGTTTCTAAAGTAACCCAGCACTCATCTTCAATTCTCCTTTTCTGTCTTTGTAAATTAACACTTATATAAAAACTCTCTTTATAATTATTTTAATGGGGTTTTGGGAAGAAGCTGTTCATGTGGAATTGTTTTAGCTTTTGTAATGAGAACTTGCTTGAAAACTATTTTCTTTTTTTGAAATGACACTGATATAAGAGCTATTTAGGGGTTTCCAAGTGGCTAGGTATAAATAAAGCTTCAGTACCTTCAGTAACCCAAAACTATCACTGCGTTGTTTATAATTTTAAAATGTCTTTTTATAAATTTTAAATTCTGTTAACTTGCCAAAAGTATGGTGGTCAACACGTGTGCCAAATGTCCATTTGATTTACAAATGATTAGAATGTAATAAAAACAAAGATCATCACATCGATATCTTGACAAAGGCTGGGGAAAGAAAAGGTATCAATAAAATAAAAACTTTACTTGACAAACTCTCTTCTTCTGTTACCATGATTTAATGAAGGAAGCTGTTAATAGGGAGAGAAGTCAGCTTCTGACTTAGTGGATATTAGGTACTTAACATGTCAAAATTGAGAAATTAAAATTCTCAAATTCATTTATGTCTAAAACTTAAATGGATCAAAACTGTAACATGACACTAAACATTCAGATTTATTAAACTGTATAATTTTTCCTACCTCTTAAGTTATAGGGGGAAAAAGCCCCTGCTGTTTATCTAGAATGCAGAAGGGCTTTGAAGTTTTTAGTTATAGAAAGTTTCTATGGATATTGAATTTTAATTACTAATTTACAAAGAATTATAACATTTATATTATACACTATTTTGTACATAAGATAAATATACTATTGAAAATTTTACTGTGCATATGTATTTCTTTTTTTTTCATGATATAGAAAACACCACATCTAAAACTGAGCACATGTGAATCATGATCCTTAGTTTAAAAAGTTTGCTCATAGTGTTGTATTGCATGGAATTGTGATCTCTCCTAGCAGATTTTAACATTAAACACTCTTATCTTAAAGGAGGAGTATCACAAACGAACCTTCACGGAAGTGCTCTCTCCCAACATGTACAACAGTAAACTCTGGGAAGCCTCGGGCCACTGGCAGCATTACAGTGAGAACATGTTCACCTTTGATATTGAAAAGGACACGTTTGCTCTCAAACCCATGAATTGTCCAGGGCACTGGTAAGTATTAAAAGTGGAGAAGATATGGCATAAGAGTGCACAGCACACTTCATCATAATTAGCTGTTATTATTATTTTGCTTTTTAGATTTAAATGGTTACTTTAATCTGAAGAATGATGGTTACTAATCATCTTTATCTAGTTATTTTCATTCTGGAGAATGAAAGTATGTTTGATATTCAGCAGGCATGGAATGTTAACTGGAAACCATTTAGTTTTTGTGCTTCTCAGAGAACAGTATCAATTTTAAAAATTATATTTGTCCTCTTAATAGTAATATATTTCATATATACATATTTGCAAATAGTTCTATGTACTGTTTGGGTTATTTTAACAAAAACATTGAGGTCATAATAAATGGTTTTCTGAATTTCATTGATTGTAAGGTACTTTTTCCCTCCATATATCAACTTCTCTGAATTTGGGATGCATCTTATAATTGGTGGCATCTTAATATTTTGTCACAAAGTAAATTGTAGGTCACTCTATTTCCTAATAGTACCTAAAATAAAGGTATATCTTATACCCAATGTTGTTTTTGATTCTATGAGAGAATTATCATAAAGTAGGTTTATAAATTCAACCTTAAAGACAAGCAGATTTTACAGCTAGAAGTGAATAGACATAATTCTACACACACACACACACACACACACACACACACACACACACACAACTATTATGGTTTTGTCTTACCAACCTACATAGTTTCTAATAAATTAACCTTAGAAGCTAACTGTTTAAACCAATATCGGAACATTAAAGAAAGCTCCTTGCCCTTTTTAGTAAAGATTAAAAGAAATTTAACTTGAAGATGACAGCATGTTAAAATATATATAACTTTAATGTTATGAAAACTGGTATGTTAATAGTCTTCAGTCTCTCTTTTTAAACAGAATGTGAGTCTAAGCTGGTGTCCCACGCTCTCTAAAACATTTACATTAACACCTTCTTAACTTTGCCACCAGGTATTATTTAAACCTGTAGCCTGCAATTTTAATTCTAATTACAAGTAAGGCTAAGTGATTATAGAGAAGGTATTTTGCATCTTCAGGCTTCAGAATAAGGAAGCCTGTAGCAATGGAATAAGGTATTCAGGAGTGCTTTCTGCAGAAGAGAATTCAACAGAGAACACTAGTTGGATGCTTCCTGAGCTTGGTGCCAGAAACGCAAAGGTGATTTATATAGTCCATTTCCTCATGGAGCTCACATGCATAGGGGGCAGGAACATATATGTAGGCAATCACTTATTTTAAAAGACCAGTGCCATAACAGTTATATGTTTGAAGTGTTCTTGGAGCCTGAGAAGAGATGGACCAGTCCTATTTGGAGAAGTGTCCAGAGGGCTTCACTTAAGAAGTAGCCTTGGAAATGAATTATAAATGGCAAGTGGAGATTTACTGGGTGGATGAAGTCAGAATTTCTGTAAGACATAATGAGATTCTTTCTAGAATGCTGCAGTGATGTAAACTTAAGATTCAAAAATTCCTAGAAGAGGGCTAGAGGCTTAGCTCAGTGATAGAGAGTGTGTTTAGCACACAGGAGGCCTTTCGTTAGATCCCCAGAACCTAAATAAATAAATAATCCATAGAAAAACATTATAAAAAATATTTTTGGTTGTAGACAGGTACAATACCTTTATTTCATTTATTTATTTTTATATGGTACTGAGGATCAAACCCAGTGCCTCATGTGTGCCAGGTAAATACTCTACTACTGAGTCACAAACCCAACCTAGAAGAGCATTTTTAATATAGTGATCTAAGAACCAGAATAAGGAGTTTACAAATATTGAGGCTTAATTGTAATTTCTTAATATTTAGATAATAATTATTGTCTATGCTATGTAAAAACCGTGTTTCATGTATCTTTTCTAGTCTGATGTTTGCTCATCGTCCACGATCTTGGAGGGAAATGCCAATTAGATTTGCTGATTTTGGAGTTCTTCATAGAAATGAACTGTCAGGGACTTTAAGTGGCTTAACCCGGGTCAGGCGCTTCCAGCAGGATGATGCTCATATCTTCTGCACGGTGGAGCAGGTAAACAGTGACACAAGGTGAAGCATGACTATCAGGAATTCACATCTCCTACTGTTTCAGATTTGCTGTGAAATGAGATGTTTCATTTAGTCTGCAAGGACTCAACTCATTCAGTTCTGACATCCTGTCGTTATCTAATTTACATCAATAGGTCAACAATTTCCTGACATGAGATTTATTATTTTTGTCCTTTGGCTTCCTTTACTTATTTTATTATCTCAAGTTCTACTAAGTGGACTATTTTAAAGATTTGCTGGAATTCAGGATGTTTTGTTTTTTAATATCGCCTAGAAATTCTTATCGAGTTTATATTTTTAGTTCAAATTAAAATTGTTGACAGAGAGTCACTGTTCAACACTTCAGGTCTAATTACTTATTTGACCTGACTGGCATTTATAGAACGATAGCAGAATATACATTCTTTGAAGGTATACATGGAATATTCCCAAGATATTCTGGGCCATAAAACAAGTCTCAATAAATTTAAAGGAATTTAATTAAAACAATGTTCCATTGAACACAGTGGAATTACAGTAGAAATCAATAACAGAAAGCTATTTGTAAAACTTCTAAATATTTGGAAAGTAAATATCACACCTCAGAATAACTCATATATCAAGAAAAAAATCAAGAGAGAAATCAGAAAATATTATACACTGAATGAAAATGAGAACAACATCACAAATTAAAATAGTTTACACAGGGACATTTATAGCACTGTATACTTACATTATAAAAGGTTTCAAATCAGTCACCTCATTTTCTACTTAAGAAACCAGAAAAAAGAAGAGCAAAATACACCTAATGGAAACCAAAGAAAGAAATAAAATAATAAAGAACAGAGCAAGAAATTATTATGATGTGGATCTTAAATGCCCTTGAGAAACTCACATGTTGAAGGCTTAGCTCCCAGTTGATGGTGTATTGAAATTTGGTGGAATCTTTAGGAGGTAGAGCCTAGCTGGAGGAAGTCAGGTCATTAGGTGCATGCCCTTGTAGGAGATAAGGGAATACTGGGACCCTGGCATCTCTCTTTCTTTCTTCCCTGCCCCTGGCTCTCCTTCCTGGCTTCTATGATGTGAGAAGCTTTGCTCTACCATGTGCTCCCTGCCATGATAGTCTGCCCCACCACAGGCCCAAAACAATGGAGCCAACTGACCTGTTTCCTTTTAAGATAATTATCTCAGGTATTTTATCATAGCAACAGAAAGCTAACACAGAAATTGCTGAAGGAACATTCACTGGAATAGAAAAAAGAAAAATAATAGAGAATATTACTAAAAAGCAAAAGCTGATTTTTTGAGAGGATAATGAAATTGATAAACTTTTAGTCAAATGTAGGGAAAAAAGATAAGACACAAAATTTAAAAATTAGGAATGAGAAGTACCATCACTGTGGATTTTGTACGTTAAAGGAATAGGGCACATTGTGAACAACTTTGTATCAACAAATTTGACAACCTAGATGAAATGGACATATGTTTGAAAAACATGCCAAGCTTCACTCAAGAAGAAATAAATGAGTGGCTCTTTGATCATTATGGAAATTAAATCAATAGTTTAAAACTTCTCAGAAAGAAAATTCCAGTCCTAGGTGGCTTCATTCGTTAATTCTACCAAAAAGTAAGGAAGATATAATACCCATTCTAGACAGATTCTGCTGGGAAATTGAAAATGCTTACCATCTTATTCTATGAGGTACCATTGCCCTGATGTACAACAAAGCAGAGCCAGTTAAAGAAAACTGTAGACCAATGTCATGAACATAATGTCAAAATTTCTAAATATGATTTTAGCACATTAAATCCAGTAATATTTTAAAGGACAATTTATCTTGACCAGGGAATGGGAGATTGATTTAACAATAGAAAATAAGCCACTGTTACTTAGTTTGTAATTAACAAAGTAAAATTCAACATTCATTTCTCATAAAAATGCTTAAGAAACTAGGAATGGAAGGGAACTTCCTCAGCCTGATAAAAGGCATCTGTGAAAAATTTATAGCTAATGTCATACTTAAAAGTTTATTCTTTTTAAGTTTAAATGCTTTACCCCTAAGGTTAGGAATAAGATAAAAATGTCATCTCTCATTAGTTTTATTATTGATTATTAAACTGGACAATTTCTGTAAAGAAAAAAGGCAAAACAGAGAAATAAATATCCAGATTAGAAAGTAAGAATTGAAATTCTTTACTTGCAGATGACATGACCGTGTATGTCATGGATGACATCTACAAAAAACTTATTGTATTTACAAAAGAATTATGAGAACTAAGTTTTTAAAAATTCTAGTATGGAATATCAATATATAAAAATCAATTTTGTTTCTTTATACTAGCAGTGAACTATTGGAAATTGAAAATAAAGAATAATCATTTATAATATCATCAAAAATATGATAAAATGTGGGGAAAATATTGCAAATATGTTGCTATGAACTTAGTTTTTCACCCCAAAATTCATATCTGAAGCCCTACCCCATCTCACCCCGACATAGGATGGCATTTGGATATGGAGTTTGGGACATCAGTTAGGTTTATATGAGAGAACAAGGGTGGGGCTTTCATGATATGATAAATACTGCTATATGAAGAGATACAGGAGATCTTGCTGCCTCTCTCTCTATCCTCTCTGCCATGTGAGGACACAATTAGAAGGCAGCTGTCTGCAAGACAGGAAGAAAGCCCTCACCAGTAAACTGAATCTACCATCTCCTTGATCTTGGTTTTTAGCCTCCAGAATTGTGACAAATAAACTTCTGTTGTTTAAGCCACACAGACTATGGTTTGTTGTGGCAGTCCAAGCTGACTAGGATAAAAGCAGGTAAAGTTTCTACACTCACTTGAGTTGGTAAAATCAGCATCAGTAGATTGTGATAGTTAAATAATACCTAGAGAAACCACTAAAGAAAACTATACATAGCCAGGTGGTGCACACCTGTAATCCCAGTGACTTGGGAGGCTGAGGTAGGAGATCATAGGTTCAAGGCCAGCCTCAGCATATTAGTGAGACTTTCAGCAATTTAGCAAAACCCTGTCTCAAAAAAGAACTGGGGATGTAGCTCAGTGATAAAGCACCCATGCATTCAATCCCTAGTGCGAAAGAAAGGAGGGAAGGAGGGATAGAATTACCAGGATGAATCATAGCCTAAGCCATACAACAAACCTCAACAAATTTGAAATAATTGGAATCATAAAAGGTTTCTTCTAGCTACAATGAAATTAAAGTAGAAATAAATAGAACAATAATGGGAAAATCTATAAGACCTATTGATCACTCTCCCTAAATATAGCATTACTTTGTGAATGGTTGCATTCATTCTTGAATTCTCAGCATTCAGCATAATGCTTAGTACAGGGGCAATTACCTTTTGTATTAGGGTTCTTCAGAGAAAGGGAACCAATAGAATATATAGAGATATACAGAAGGGTATTTATTATGGCAATGAACTCACATGATTACAGAGGCCAGGAAGGCCCTATTACATACCGTCTGTAAGTGGGAGAACCAGGAAAACTGGTGGGTGATTCCTAGTTACCAATATGAGACCCATGGCCTGAGAACTGTGAATAGAGGTGTAACTGGTGTAATTCCCATAGTCCAAGGGCCAAAGAACCAGAAGTTCCTATGTCTGAGGATAGTAAAGGATGGATGTCCCAGTTTAAGAAGAGAGGGAGGTGGGCATAAGGGTAGGAAAGTTGGTGGAATGTGATAGTCATCATTACCCTAAGTACATGTAAGAAGACATGAAGGATGTGACTCTACTTTGTATACAACCAGACATATGAAAAATTCTGCTCTATATGTGTAATATGAATTGTAATTCATTCTGTTGTCATATATAACAAATCAAAATTTTAAAAAATTAAAAATTAAAAAAAAGAAAGGGGCGGGAGAGAGAATTTAATTTGCCTTCTCTCTACCCTTTTGTTCTCTTGGGGCTCTCAACAGATTGTATAGTACCTACCCATACTGTGAGGACAAATCTTTACCCAGAGTCTACTGATTCAAATACTAACCACTTCCAGATACACCCTTACAAACATAAGAAATAATGTTTTTCTAGCTACTCCTTATCCCAGTCAAGTTGACACATAAAACTAAAGGATAAATACCTCTTAAACCAATCCCCTGCATTCTGACTGCTCTCTCTGGGTTCAAAGCACTATCGTATCATTCCTGAACAATTTCACCAGCTTCCTGACAGACTTCTCTAGCCTTTCCAGTCAGTTTCCGTACAGCAAAAGAACAGTTTGTTTCAGATTAGTCCCCTCAACCTTTCACTGGCTCCCCATTGTTGTCAGGGTAACACATCCAGACATGACCCTGGCTTTGTAGGTACTTTATTTTCTCTGGTCCCTGCATACTTCTAGCCTCATCATATACCACCCATCCCTGTCTGCTCTCCCTTGCATCCTATGAAGCTCCCTGACTGTCTGCTCCTCTGACCTTGACCTTCACCCTCAGTGTTTCCTCTGCTTGGACTGGGAACCCACTGGCCACACCCTACCTCTCTACAGAGAACTCTTGCCCAGCCTCTGGCCATAGTGTGGCCCTGACTTCCTCTGGGCAGCCCTCTTTAACTCCTGTTCTGGGTGTACCACTGCCTTTTCACAATGTAGTGCCCTTGTCTGCATCCTGCATATGCCTGACCCACAAATGAAGATGCAAGTCAGGAATGGATAGGCAACCAAAATAGTGTCATATGTACTCTATTAAAATCAGGCTTTATCTGATATGAAGAATTTTTTAAATGTCCTAAATAAATTTAATTTGGTGTTCTATTTGAATATTTCATTTGCTCTGATTTCAGATTGAAGAAGAAATAAAGGGGTGTTTGCAGTTTTTACAATCAGTTTACTCAACATTTGGCTTCTCCTTTCAATTAAACCTGGCCACAAGGCCAGAAAACTACCTTGGAGAAATTGAGATGTGGGATGAAGCTGAAAAGGTAAGGAGAAAGAAAAAGCTCCCCTTTCATTTTTGTAGGTATGAAAATCACTCAAGAAACTGCACTTCTCTAGAAATTTTAAAACGAAGTCATGGGATCAACATGCAGGTTGTAGAATGTGTTTGTCCATTTGCCTTCATGATGAAAACATTTGTTTAACACTTAAAAGTTTATGTCAGGTTTTCATTTGGACCCTTTTTTGGTGCCAGTCACAAATAACTGGCATACATTTTTAAAGAAATCCTTCTATTTACAGTATGTCTTGGTTTGTGTAGTTAATTTTAAAGCATTGCCTGTGGAGTTACCTTAGTCTGACTCAGAGTCTCAGAGATGTGGCCTCTGCCTGAGATGCATGCACATGGTGCTTGAGTCAGACCCAGCCTGTAGAGCCCACTCTACGCCTGAACACACCCAGACTTAGACATCACATCTCAGCTTTGAAAAGCCAAGGTTAGGGTCAGCGCATGAGGGGACACTCCCAGACCTCAGGAAGGACATCTCTGTCTCTCTCAAGACCATATTCTGACTGAAGTCCTGGGAGCATGCCACGACTTCATAACTAGCCACAGGCCCTGTGCACCACCTCTGCCTTGGTCTTCTCCAAAAGCACCTCACTCCCAGATGTCAGGTCTCATTCCTGGGCACCAGTATTTTGGGGTGATAACAAGAGTTTGGCTGTTATTTTGACAGTGTTCTGGTCAAGATCTTAGGAATGCTCAGTTTCTTCCTAGGAAAGCTGCATTCACAGGAATGCCAGGAGACTCAAAGTTCCCCTTTACTACAGACACCCACTCATCTTTAGTGTGGGACATCTTCATCACAAACTGTGAAGAGAGTGTGGAGAGGTAGTGGCTTAGGCTGAAGACCAAAGTGGAGCTTCATGCCCACACACTGCTGTAAATCATGGGATGCCCCCATCCCCAGACACATGCAGAAGTGGAGGAGAAGCTAAAGAGAAGTAGCAAGGCCTACTGTTCAGTTCTCTCTCCCACCCACACATCATGAAAGAGGGAGCCTTTTCATGTGTGGAGGAGCATCCATCTATAAGGTGAAACAGATCCTGGACTTTCACCAGGATGCAGAAGCTATCAGAAGGAACTTGCATTGGAAGGAGGACCCAAGCATCCTTTCTCTAAACTCTGGAATTCACTGGAATAGTTTAGTAAATTATCTCTTTTTCCCCCCAACTAAAATGTACATATGTGGGGGCTGGGGTTGTGGATCAGCAGCAGAGCGCTCATCTAGCACGTGCGAGGCCCTGGGTTCGATCCTCAGTACCACATAAAAATAAATAAAATAAAGGTATTGTGTCCAAGTACATCTTAAAAAATAAATATTTAAAAAATGTATGCATGTATGTTGATAGAAGTGTCATCTTAATCATCTTTCTATCATCCCTATTGAATATAAAAGATGCTCAATAAATATATATTGAGCTAATGTAAAATATAAGATATATTGAATTCATTTTTATGAGGTATATGAAAAAAGATAAAATATGCAATAAAATAGAAGTTTAAAATATTTTCTTCTTTAAAAATAAAATAGCAACTGCAGAATAGCTTGATGGAATTTGGAAAACCATGGAAAATGAACCCAGGAGATGGAGCATTTTATGGCCCTAAAGTAAGTGGATCATATGCATTAAAAAAAAAGTAAAATTTAAAAGAAAAATTTCAACTGTCACTAAGCAAACATTGTTTAATTTATAGATTGATATAAAAATCAAGGATGCTATTGGCAGATACCACCAATGTGCTACAATTCAGCTGGACTTCCAACTGCCTATTAGATTTAATCTTACATATGTTAGGTGAGTGATTGAATATGATTAAATAAAGTAGTACTAACATCCTAATTATTTGTCATTTGAGATGAATATACAAAAATAAACATTAGTGTATATCTAGTATATGCCAAATATTCAATATGTATTTGTTATAAACTATTTGGGGATTTTCTTAGTTCATTTTGTGTGGCTACAACAAAACTGGGTACTTTATAAAGAAAAGAGGTTTATTCAACTCATTATTCTGATATCTGGAAAGCCCAAACAGCATGGAACCAAGGGCCCTCCTGACTACATCACAATGTGGCAGAGAAACAGAAAGGGAAATGGCTGCATATAGAAAGGGGCAAGTGTGTGGGGTAGCCTTATAACAACCTGCTCTCCTGAGAACTAACTTAGTCCTCTGAGAACTACATTAATCCTTTCTGAGGCTAATGACCCTATAACCTGATCTCCTCCCACTAGGCCTGACTTGTTAAAGATCCACCACATCAGTGGTAGAATGCTTGCTTAGCATGCACAAGGTCCTGAATTCCATCCCTGGACCAAGCTTCCAGCACATGACCTTTGGGGAACACATATACATCCAAACCAGAAGAGGGGTCAACTTTAATTTTCTGAGGACATGGTCTGGTAGGGGAAGAAAGATAAGTAAGCATAGGATTAGAGATCTGAACAAAGTACCATGAAAACATGGTCCAGGTGGTTAACTGTCCCTGAGGCATAGGGGGAAGACTTCACAAAGAGCTGGAGTGACGTGAGGATGAGATAGTTGCCAGAGAAAGCAGGGGAAAAGGCAAATTTTTCAAACCAATAACTTCTTGTTGTAAAAATATTTCTTGACATACAGTAAAACTCTGTGTGTGTGTGTGTGTGTGTGTGTGTGTATAGATGCATGTGTACAGTTTGGCCAGTCTTAATGCACATATAGAGTGGTTTGACTTCACAGTTATGACTATATTATTCCAATAAATTTATTTGTGCTATTTGCAGTCAAACTTCCTCCTGCCCCTAATCCTTGGCAACAATTAATATGTTCTCTGTCACTATAATTTTGCCTTTTCCAGGATGTCATATAAAAGGAATCATGCTATATTAACCTTAAGAGACTGTCTGTCTTCTTTCACATAGCATAATGCCTTATATATTCATGGGTGTTTTTTCATGTTTGAATAGTTTGTTCCTGTTTATTGCTGACCAGCATACCATCATTGTATGGATGCAGCACAATTTGCTTGTTTAGTCATTCACTTAAAGGCATTGATTTGTTTGCATTTTGGGGGGATTATGAATAGAGCTGCTTCAGACATTAGTGGATAGATTTTTATGTGAATGAAAGTTTTATTTCTTTAGAGTAAATATGATAAGTGTATGTTAACTTTGTAAGAAATTGCTGAACTGTTTTCTGTAGTAACTTTACCATTTGATATTCTTGCCAGGAATGCATGGGAGTTATATATGTGTCACTTCCATGAGAACACTTGGTATTGTCCGGGTTTGTTTGTTTATTTGTTTGTTTGTTTTTATGGTGCTAGGGACTGAGGGTCTTCCATGCTAGGCAAGCACTCTGCCTCTCAGTTATATCCCTACCCCTGTTTAAGATTCTCCTTAACAAATGCATAATAGTATTTCATTATGTTTTGATTTTGTATTTCTTCAGTCCTAACAAAATTAACATTTTTTTATGTGCTTATTTCCCATTTATATGCTTTTTGGCTAAGGACCTGTTCATGTCTTATCCTCATTTTAAAATTGGGGTTTTTGTTGTTTTATTACCTTTGAATTTTGAGAATTTATGTCTTTAAATATTTTAGGTATAAATGTTTTGATCATTATTTACAAATATTTTCCCTCCAAATTTGTAGCTTGCTTTTTTATTTTTACAGTATCTTTTCATTCATATTGAGTTTTTAGTTTGAATGAAGTTTAATTTATAATTTTTTTTCTTTTATGGATTGTGAGTTTTGGCATCRTGTCTATGAACTCTTTGTCTAAGCACACAGGTCATGAAGATTTTCTCCTATGTTTTATCTCTAGTTTTAAGTCACATTTAGATCTAAGATATCTCTTGCATTTGTGTGTGCGTGTGTGTGAGTGTGTGAATGAGATGTAGAGTATAGATTAGGGTTCCTTGCATCTAGATTGTTTAACATCATTAAAAAGAACATTCTTTTGTCATTGATTTGCTTTTGCAAAGATCAGTTGGACATACTCTATTGTCATGTATATCTAAAAAGACAAATTTTTTAAAATTAAAAATCAAAATCAGTTGGACAGCTGGGCACACACCTAAAATCCCAGCAATTTGGGAGGCTGAGGCTGGAGGATTCCATGTTCAAGGCCAGCTTTGGCAACTTAGTGAGATCTTGTCTCAAACTAAAATAGAAGGGACTGGGGATATAGCTCAGTGGTAAAGTTCCCTGGGTTCAAACCCCTACCTTCCCCGCCCCCACACAAAGACATATTTATGAGGATCTGTTTCTAGATCTTCAATCTGTTCTGCTGACCCACTGATTATACCTTTGTTAACACCATGTAGGTTTTTTAAAAAAAATATTAATTTTTTTAGTTGGACACAATACCTTTATTCCATTCATTTATTTTTATGTGGTACTGAGGATCGAACCCAAGGCCCTGTGCATGCTAGGTGAGCGCTCTACTACTGAGCCACAATCCCAGCCCCACCATGTAGCTTTATAGTAAAAAACTTACAATCAATAATGTGAATCCTTTATTTTCTTTTTCAGAATTATTTTGCTTTTAATAATTCTATTTAAAATCCTGGGAGGAATTTTGATTGGAATTGCATTTAGTTTGGGTCAGATGGACATGTGAACTCTGTTGCGATCCATGACCTTTTTATTTCTTTCCTCATTTTTTCCAGATTTTAGCATAGAAGTCCTTTGCAAATCTTCATAGATGTAGATATCAAATATCCAAGTATTTCACTTCTAAGGGATGATTCTAAGTGGTATTATAGTTTTAATTTTTATATACATGTGTTCATTGCTCATATGGGGGAAATGCAGCAGATTTTTGTAAGTTGACCATGTATGCTGAGACTTTGCTGAACTCACATTAATTCTAGGATATTTGCTTTTGTGTTTTTGTAGAATTCTCAGGATTCTACATGATTGTGGACAATAATTCCAGGTATAAACAGGGACAGTTAATTTCTGTTTCTGATTTGTATTCCTTTTGTTGTCTTCTCTTGCCTGATTGCACTAGCTAAAACTAGTATTGCTTTGAGTAAGAGGATGAGAGTGGACACCATTGCCTTGTTTCTAGTCTTAGAAGGAGAGTATACAGTGTTTTATTCTTAATCATACTGTTAATGTGTAGGCTTTTTGTAGATACTCTATCAAGTTAAAGAAGTTCCTTTGTATTTCTAAATTTTCAAGATTTTTTTATCATGAATGTGTGTTGAATTATTAGATTTGTTAAATTGTTTTTCTGTATAAATTCATATAGTCACGTGATTTTCCTTCTTTAGTCTATAATTATGGTAGATTTTGTTTATTCAGTATGTTGAACTAGCACTGCACTGCTGGGATAAAATCCACTTGGTCATACAGTGTCATTGTTTATGTATTAGTGGATTTGATCTTCTAATGGCTTGTTGAGAATGTTTGAATGTACGTTCATATAGGATATTTAATTTTCTTTCTCATATTGTCTTTGTACAAGTATCTGTGCATTCTGGCCTCATAAAATAAATTGGGAAGGTTATTCCATTTTGTTCTATTTTCTGGAAAAGATTATGTAGAATTGATGTTATTTCTTTTTCAGATATTTGGTTAAATTAGCCATTGAAACTATTGCTATAGGTTTCCTTTTGGGAAAGAAGGAAAATTATTGACATGTTTAAAATTTAATAATTTTTGATAGAATATTTTCCTTTTAAGATGCTTAGAGTAAATGAACAACCACTCCTCATACAAGGAGGACGTGGAGGAGAAACAAATCAGCCAGCCAGCCATTCAAGGTGTATGTGGACAGTGGAGAGAGGGAGAATAGAAGTAGAGGCAGCAGCAGTCTGTGAACAGGTCAGAGATGACAATGGATGGAACCAGGTGATAGAGGTGAACAAAGAGGGTRTGTTTGGGGTGTGCTCTAGAGGAAGAACCAATGTGATTTATTCAGGCTTAGGAAGGAGAGAAAAGCATGGAGGTCATCGCCATGATGGAATAGGGATTTATCCTATATTAGCAAGGGAGGTTTAACATGAGACTCAGCCTTGCAGGAAGGTGTCAGGTAAAACTTAGCATTCGTTCCTGTGTCATGGGCAGAAAGAAATTCCCTTCTTATAATAGGAACGTTTATCAGAAAACAATAGTAACCCCTCAATATAGTTGAGAAGAAGGTGATTATGCCTACTATTTGTACCATTACTCAGAATTATTCTGAAAGTACAAATATTCAAAAAAAAAAAAAAGGAGAGACTAAATTGTTATTATTTGTAGATGTTAAAATGTTTAGAAATTGGCCAGGGATGCAGCTCAGTAGTATAGCACTTGCCTACCATTTGTGAGGCCCTGTGTTCAACCCCTACAACTGCCAAAAACAACCCAAAATTCTTGAAATCTGACAGAATCAAATGGAGAAAAATTGGAACTAATAATACAGTAAGTTATTATTAGTAAGCAGTAAGCACAAAGTACAAATTTCAATTTGCTTTCATATCCATTTAGTAATAACCTGCCTCAAAATGTAATGTAAAAAACATTTCAGAAACAACAAAATGCAAATTATCTAAGAATAAACTTAATTAGAAATAGAAATACATAATATTTACAAAGTATACACTATAACATTTTATCAAAAGTCAGTAAAGAATTGTTTAAATGAAGATTCACACAACATTCTTAGAATCAACATTGTAAAGATAATATCTTCTAGTTTATCTATGAATCTAATATGATTCTGTGAAAATCCATTGAGATTATTTTGGGGGAAGCTCGATATTCATTCTAATGTTTATTTGATAAAAGCAGAGTTGGTGTCACTGACTGCTTTAAGTCTACACTTGATGAATCATGGGACAGAAATTTCTGGTTACCAGGGTTTTATGAAGGGGCTACGCTGCTTCTCTTTCATTTCCTATAGAAAACAACATAATATATCATTCAGGAATATCCCATGCTGGTTTAAGTTTGTGAGATAAATGATTTCTACATATGTCTGCATAAGGCTGGATTGAAGCCATTCACTCACCCCAAAACTTTCTGAGGGATCTAGACAGGGAGTTTTGTTTGACGTTGATCTAAAGGTAATTTCCCATAGCAGAAATTATTGATGGAGATGTTATCCAATATTACTTCATTTGAAGTAAAGCTAATTAATTAGTCTCTGTTTTTGTTTGGTTTGTGTATGTTTTAGTAGTACCTAGCTGGTACAATTTATAGATAAAATTTTCTCATAAGAACCTATTATATTTGTTACAGTGAAGTAAAATTTATCTTTCTGAGAAATGTGCACATAGATCTCAGGGTGGTTACTTCATTGTGATTAAGAGTCATACTTTGTTTTTCTATTTTTTTCTAAAGGGGAGTAGATCATTAAATGTAAGACATGTGTCATGAAGGTTTTAGGTCTATGAAAGGAATTTGACCAGTGGACTTCTAGAATAAATATTAAAAACAATTTGAAAAATTAGGTTTACTACGTGGGCACAATAGTGGCAGGAATGGGGTACATAGGATCAGATAAAACTGCCTGTGAATTTAAGAAAGAGAATGTGGGAATTGATTGCATTACTCTCTGTACTTTTGTATGTGTTTAGTGTTAAAATTTGTTAAAAATAAATGAAACAAAAGACAAAGCAATCTTTTGTTTTGAGGAAATAAAACAGCCACTAAAGAAATAGTCAATGGAAAGATACCCAGAAACACTAATCTAAATCTATAGACAAAATTAAATATAAGGTAAGAATATAATAAAGTTATTACCTAATTTTAGAAAAATACTCAAATGTATAATTTTCGTTTTTTAGTAAGGATGGGGATGATAAGAAGAGACCTGTGATCATTCACCGAGCAGTGTTGGGATCAGTGGAAAGAATGATAGCCATTCTTGCAGAAAACTATGGGGGGAAATGGTAAGTGACATGAAAGAAAAAAGCTAGATGTCTCTTATTTTTAAAAATCATGGCTAACAACATTAAATTGGTAGGAAAAATGGCAGCTCCCGCTTTTATAATTAGCAGGTATGCAAAGAATAAATAAGAATTATTGTTCCTTTTGCCAGATCAGAAAACAGAAACAAAGAAAGCAAAAACAGAGTGACATAAAATTGCACTATTTTCCCTTTGGGGAACTCAGTCCTATTAAAGAGTTATCTTTTCACCTGTGTTAAGCTTGTCAAAGATCCATTTACTGTCTGGAAAACACGTGTTCAGTTTCCCAGGGTACTGTCTCTTGTCACACTGCCGTCTCTTGTTCAGCTTGTATTGCTTACCTTTGGGTGTTCCTTGTGACCATTGTCTGGGAAGAAAACATGGAAACCTGATCCATAAATAGCTGAATAATACACTGGTATAAAAACCAGAGAGAATGGCCACAGCATCACAGTCCAATCAAGGGATGACTGTGGAAAAGGAAAATGCTCTCCAATGCAGAATGTAGAATGGTACATCTTATGGTCCCCTCTGCCTGGAAGGAAAACTGGTCAGAGGTCTGAAGTTTTACATTGATGTAGGGCTCTGGGTACTGCTTTGGCCACAAGACCAGAGATATAGAAATAATTAGATTGGAAAAATAAATGCCAGATAGATTTGGGGAAGAGGACTTATGGATGATTCCTCAGAATGGGCCATGAAAGTGGTATTGCCCACTGTAAGGTCCTCACTGTTGAAGAGAGTTTCAGCATTCTATACAAGAGGGCCCATTCAGTTATCATCAACTTCTTTTTGTCCCTCATAATTATTCATATCAAGAATAAAGTGGCCACTAGGTGATATGCATGAGCATATCATGGACAATAACATGGACATTCCCTCACCAAGTTCTATATTACTACATATCTTCTGGGGACACTATTTACTATTGGTAATGATATATCCTGATCCCACAGTATGGTACCATAACCCAGGGGGAGCAGCCAGCTGTCTTGTGGCAGTTTGATTACATTGGATCCCTTTCAGCATGTGCCAGTGCCAGAAAAGATAGCAAAGTTCACTTTCTTTTCATAGAAGACAGTTACTCTGAATTTTGCTTTGCTTTGCTTTCCTACCATGCTTTCTGCCAGCAGCTCTGTGAAGTAATTTATAGCCAAGAAGTAAGGCCTGAGCCTGTATTGGCTCTCAGAAGTAGCCCCCACCACTATTATTGCTAGGCATAATACCTGTAGATTTCACTGTGGATACTGGGCACTGGATGCCAATGCTAGAGTCATTGTCACAGGTTCCTCAAAAGCCCTGTGATGGGCTATAGCCATAGCTCAGTGGTAGAGTGCTCGCCTAGCATGTATGCAGCACTGGGTTTAATTCTCAGCACCACATATAAATAAATAAAGGTCCATCAACAACTAAAAATATATATAATATATATATGAATATTACCTACTGGCCACTTTACTCATTATATGAGTAATTATATAATTATATATATATGTATGTATATTATAGTCAGGGTGCTGTGTTTGTATATCTTCCACAAACTAGTTCCCACACATGCATTCTAGTGTTCATGTCAAGAGAGGGCAGGGAAGAAAATTTCTGAGCAGGAATCATAAGGTAGGAAATTTCCCTGAGTGTCTTCCAAAGGTACTGGGCAATTAGAGAGTCTGTGTATATCTGAGATATTTAATTTATGACCTTGGAGAAATATACTGTAGTGTCATGGAGCTTTTAAGCTATTAAAATTATACAGAAGCCAAAAATATAGGCAAGAATATAGATACTAAGTATGAGTTAATATGTATATATTTCTTTCTTTTATACACAGTATTCTGTATTTTATCATATGTAATTATGTTTACCATATATATTATTTCATTTTTGCAATTTAAGAAAAATACATACATTCATAAAGTACCATCTGGGAATAGTCCCAATTGTATTCCCTTCTACCTTCAAAATAATTTTGATGGTACCATACCGTAGGATCAGTATTTATCGCTACTGCAGGCAAATTGTATCCCCAGAGGCCATGTAGTGATTTGGAACTTGGTGAAGGAATATCCATGTTGTTAATTTAAAATCCAGTTGATATGATGGTGTCTTACATTAAAATGGTAGTGTGAAAGTGGCAAAAACAAACAAACAAAAAACAACAACTAAAGATAACTAGTGGGATTAGGAGATGAAGTAGGAGACAGGAGGTGGTGCCAGTGTATGGTATGGGCTGTCCTCCTCACAGGGACCAAGATTTCTGACACCAGCTGACCTGTGAGGGAAATGTCTCCAAAAACTAAAAGTAAAAACGGTTAAAATGTGGTTCTCTGGAGAAAGTAAGACTGGGGACAGACTGAGGCCAGAGCACGTTATACACTCTGTTTTTCATCAGATGTTGAATTATGTCCATCGTATGTTATTTTATTTCTATAGTTTATGAATGCAAGAACTGCCTGGGAATAATCCCCATTGCATACCCTTCCACCTACAAATTATGATGAAGAAATAGGCAAATGTCCACATCAAACATTGCTTTTACCTACCCCTCCATGCTTTTAAAAAAATATTACATTTTGACACAATCATTACAGAGAGCATAGTCTTTTCCCAGTTTCCACCCACCCCCATGGCAACACTTGCCAAATTTAAGTATCACAACCTAGGAAATAAGCATTGATATGATCTACCAACCTCATTTAGATTTCACCACTTTCACTTGTACTCATCTAAGAGAGTGTGTGTTTCTGTACACACACACACACACACACACACACACACACACACACGTGTGAGTGCTTAGTTCTATAAGGTTTTTATCACAGTGTCTGGATGGAATAACTGCTGCCAGTCAAGACTCACTTATAAGGACACTCCTATTATTATTATTCCCACAAATGCTCTATCTCACTCCTGTCCACCAATTTGGAAACCATGAATCTCTTCTGCATTTCCATAATGCTGTCAGTTTAAGATTGTCAAGTACGCGGAATCATATAGTATGCAACCTCTTCAGATCAGCTTTTTTTTAACTCAGTGGAATTCCTTTGAGATCCATCAGTGTTATGTCAAGTACCAACACTTGGTTCACTTTTACTTAATGATGTTCCATGGTATGGAAGCACCACAATTTGACCATTCTCCTGCTGAAGGATATTTGGGGTATTTATGGCTTTTGGCTATTACAAATAAAGCGGCTATGTATGTTAGTGTGCAGGATTTATGTGAACATAAGTCTTCATCTATTTAGGATAAATGCCCAGAAGCACAAGTATGTGTTTAACCTTCCATCTGTGTTCCAACCCATTCTTCCTTCTCTTTTCCTATCAAAATTCCAGGTGTCTCCTTCTGTCTACTCTACTTCCTTTTAACTCTTAATGTGGTTTGGTTTGCTTCTATACCATTCCACTGAATTTGCTCTCTTGTAAAGCCATACTTTAAAAAAAATCTTTGGTTATTTTTTAATCACAGAATAAGTGGTCATTTTGAAATGATTTTGAAAATGTATACTTTTCAGGCCTTTCTGGCTATCTCCTCGTCAGGTGATGGTCATCCCTGTGGGTTCAACTTGTGAAGAATATGCAGTTCAGGTAAAATTAGAGACATTTGAAGTACCTAATACTTTGCCATGTATTCTGTGTAGGTCATTGGCTTGAAGTGTCATTCCTGCTTTAAAATACTGTATAACTAACACATTAATTTAATAAGTTTTCAGTTATTGGAAGTAACATGGGTCATATCCATGTAGTTGAATCAGAGTGTTTTTGAGAAATTAGTATTTCAAAACATAATTAAATTATTCTTTTCCATATGGCTCTATTAGAAAAGAATACCTTATTATCTGTTACTGCATAACAATTTCCCTAACACTGAGCAATTTAAAACAGCAAGTATTTATTATCTCAGCATCCTCGAGGTAGGAATCTGGGAGCAGCATAGCTAGTGCATTCTGGTGTGGTGTCTGATGAGGCTGCAGTCAGGCTGTCACAGGGCTACAGTCCTCCAGGCTTACTCATATGGACTTCAGCTCCTTATTGACTTCTTCCTAGGCTGCCTGAATGTTCTCACAACATGGCAGCTTGAGTGATCTGGGGAGTGAGAGATGCAGTCCTTTATAACCCAGCCTCAGAAGTGTACTATCACCACTTCTGCCCTCCTCTGTGGGTAACAGACCGACTCTGATACAGGGTAGAGGGCTACACAGGGGTATGAATATCAGATGGGAATAATGAGGGCTGTCCTAGAGTCAGTCTGTCTACCAAAAATAATGTAATAATGAAAGTATTCCTTGTTCTTCCAGGTATCCAATGAATTTTTTGGAGAAGGATTTATGGCCGATGTTGATTTAGATGACAGTTGTACACTGAATAAGAAAATAAGAAATGCACAGTTGGCTCAATATAATTTTATTTTGGGTAACTTAAATTTGTTTATATTTTTTCAGTTTGTTTATATTTTTGCTTTAATTTTTTTAAAAAGGCAAAATAAGGACTATGGCATAACTACTTGATTATGACATTTTGACTGTTTAATATCTATGTACAAAGAAGAGTCCTGGATTAGCTGTTGCTAGGTCCTCTGTTATTTGCTGGATGAAGACTTATAAAGTTCCACATGAATCCTGTTGTGTAGTATTATTAACAATAGTGAACATCTCAAATGAAAATGAAAGAAATTTGAAAATAACCTCTTCAGTAGAATTATTATCCTTGTTTCAACCATGTGACAGAACTGAAATAGTTTCCCTTGCTTTGCTGGTTTATTAGAAATCATGGGAATTAAACAAATGAATGAGAAAGATTCCAAATTTTCAAAAGAAAAGAATTAAGGTGAAAAAAAAATACCTTGAGAAACATGAGTAATTGGATACAGAATCTAAAATTTTGGTTGTAAACCTGTATAATCAAGAGAAACTGATATTGACATGCCTGCAGGCATGGTATTGCTCTCTCTCATAAGCTGAAAGAATAGTAGAAAACACAATCAATATGCATAAAGTTGTCCTATCGACAGTTGTTCATTGATAATGTTTGACTCTGTGGTAGGTATTGTGTTGTTTAATCAGGCTCACTGTGGTGACAGAATCTCAAATTAGGTTAGACAAAGATTTATCAGAAGGGTACCCATGTCATGAAAAGTAGACCTAAATAGCCAAACCATTAGAAAAGTTTGTAATGTAAGCCTCAGCCCTTACAAGGATTATCTCTCCCCATTTCTGGTTCCTGTTTTTGCACCAGTCATTTATGCTTCACTTGAGTATATAGTTTGTTGAAATTATCAGTGGATCAGTTTGTTCCTTTTGTGTGGCAAGAAACATGGCTGCAGATTCCTGCTATCATCTCACAATATGGATTACTACTGAGAACAAGCTTTTTGCCCACATCCCAGGAAATTCTGGTTGGCCAGCATGGGTCTGTGTGCATCTTTTGACTTATCAAGTACCACCAGGTAGAGTCAGGGGATCTGTAAGATTTCCTGCTCTAAATCATGCCCCATGGCCACAATACTATATTCTCAAGTGAGCAATAAAAATATGTGATTAGAAGTCATTCCTTACCTCAAGACACTCAGCTAAAGCATGAACTTAATGACCATTAGATAGAAAATTAGTGACTAATACTGAAGAAAAATTCAGTTAGACTCATAATACCACTGTTGACATAATGGTTGATTTATTTCCCTTCCTTTCTACAGTGGTTGGAGAAAAAGAAAAGATAAATAATGCTGTAAATGTTCGAACAAGAGACAACAAAATTCATGGAGAGATTTCAGTAACTTCTGCCATTAATAAATTGAAGAATCTCAAGAAATCACGTACACTAAATGCTGAGGAAGACTTTTAAAGTGCTTTCCTTGTACTTGCTTCTATGTAATCTATTTTGACCTTTGCAAATGCATTTTTCCTCACTAATTAACATGTTAGAACTTCTAAGAACTTTGGACCCACTGATGGATCCACTTATGGGATCAGTTGAAATGGGTCACAGTGAATGATTAGCATATATGTATAAAGTTAATTCATTAATGTGTTCTGAAGATGATAAGAAGAGAAGCTTGGAAAATTTCCAAGCAATCAATGACTTCAGAGACCTCAGTGGTGAGATATTATTCATTGAAAGATGGAAACACTAGAAAATGAGATATATGAAGTTATTGCTAAAACTTGTGATTTTCAGCAGATAGGCTCCAGGGCTAGGGATAGAGCTCAGTTGCAGAGCGCTTGCTTAGAATTCAAAAGGACCTGGGTTCTATCCCCAGCACTAAGAAAAAACGGGAAAAAAGATGGGTTCCATTAAAAGTCCACAAAGCCTTTTTGACTTTGAGGGGAAATCTTATTTTCTTATGTCTCAGGTATTTTTATGGCTGTTTTTAAGTTAACATTGAAACTTTATTTCATTTAAATGGAATCATTACTTAATTTGTTTTAACTAACTGGCAAAAATAAGTAAAGCAGGTATTAATAAATATTGAATTACTGATAAAGGACTCATAAAATCAAAGAAATTCAGTGTTGTGGAATCTGTTATTTGCATTGTAGTTTAAGAGTTGCAGTTTTAATGCTTCTAATTAAAAATTGAGCTTTGTTCGTCTTTAGAAATAATGAATTCCCCAATAAAATGCATCACACAGTGTTTCCTTGTTTCGGCTTTGGGCTTATACCAGTAAGATGCTCACCTGGAGTTAAATTGCTTTTTTGTTGGGAATGACATTTTATTGATTTATAGACTCAAAATGATTTGTGATTTTTACTTCCTGAGGAATGTGAACTGTGAAATAGTTGGTAAACAAAGTGTCATATGTCAGGCCTGTGTAGTAGTAATACGTGTACCTTGTGATAAAAATTTTAAAGCATGTGCCAGGTGTTATTCCGTGTTCTTTTTTCTTCTTTCACTCATCAAAAGTGCAAGTGAAAAACTGGGTGTTAGAGGGTGACAGTAATACAGCCCCGGAGAAGAGGCTACTCCACTGCTGGTTGCTCCCAAAATATTCCAATTGGTAGGAAAACAGGTTTTTTACTTAAAGCCAGCTTTGAAGGAAGTTAGAAGAAAATTTTTATTTCACAATTCCATCTTGGGAGGCTCTGAGGACAAAGACAGCTTTTAAAAAAGAGAAGAAGCAGGCAAAGTGTGACAAAAATTAGGAAATACCCATATGCAGATTTAGTTAGCCTACGTTAGAGGGCAGGGCAGGGAACAATTTGGCATTGTGGGCTTCCTTGGTGTCTCTTAGACCAGGGGAGGTCAGCTCCTCAGCCTTTACTCTCTTAGCATGAGGAAGCTGCTCTCAGTTTTAGAGGGGCCAGAACTCGGCCTATTTGATGGGCGGTCCGAAGACCCCAAAGTGAACGATCTTTTGGCGGGTGGAATAGAGAGGCACCTCAAGACGTCTGCTGTGCTGGGAACAGACATAGGTGGGTAAAGCGTTCCCTTCCTTACCCTAGGCTGGTCGCCTTCGGGGAGAGGCTGTGCTTGGACCCTCTTTTCGCATGAAAAATCCCACATCGGGCTTTTTCCCAGTCGTACAGGAATTTTCTCTAAATACCACGTATCCTTAAGGACTTGGCTAGTAGGCAGGGCAGTTATGAAATGTGGTCCCTGCACCTTCGCACAGTACCTAGCACACAGTAGCAACGTTTATCTCTAAACGAAGGCATCCAACTACCTGAATATAGTGCCTAACTCCCCAAATTTCCGCCTCTACCTTCAGTCACTTCTGGGTGAATTTCGGTACTACGGCGATCCTTTCCCAGGCTACAGCAGTGGAAAGAGAAGGAGGCGGGGCACGCGTCTAGTCAGTGTGAGGGACTCTAGGGGATCGAGCATTTTCACCGGGTCAGGCGATTGCACTCCTCCAGGTGACCCTCGGCAGGTGCGGCGGCAGCGCAGAATAGCGCGGGACCACAGCTTCAGAGCGCCTGCGCCCGGGAATCCTTAGGCCGCGCCCGGACACGCCCCCATTAGGCGCGCGCCGGGAACCCCGCCCCCCGGCCCGGAAGTGCGCGCGCGCCGGCAAGATGGCAGCTGCGGCGGGACCGCTCCTGCGCCTCCGCCGCTTGTGTCGCGTGCTGCTCTTCCTCTCGCAGTTCTACATTCTATCTGGTGGTGGTGAGTTAAAGGTCGGGGGTCGCGCCAGGGAGGGCTGAGAGTTTAGAGGGTCCCAGGAGCTGCTAGAAGCGTTGGGGCCGGGACCACAGAGGCTGCGTGCTGGGCGGCGGGCGGCGGGTAGCTGCAGTCTGGCGTGCCCTGGATGCCTCGCCGGAGCCTGTGCTCAGCTACCTCGCTACCGAACCCTCCAGCTGAGAGGGAACTCTCCGTGGCTCCGCCGGGGAAACAGAAACTGAACTTGAAACCGCCTTTGTTAACCTGCAGACTCGAAACGGTGTAGACCCTTTTGGTGATGCGCCCTTTCAGTTTTCTGAATTCGGGAAGTCAGACCCTGAGGTTTTCAAGAGCAGTTATTGGCTTGGTGTAGTACTTGCGTGTTAACCACACAAACCAAGGTTTTCATATCCCGGGATAACGTGTTTCTCTAATTGTAGGATCCTTAAATTTAGAGCATTCGCAGCCGCTGGCTCAGGCAATAAAGGATCCGGGCCCAACACGTACATTCACAGTAGTTCCCAGGGCAGCAGGTACTAGACGTTTTCTATTCTAGTAAATGTGCCTTTTTATATATAGTAGTTTCTTTCTGTTTTTGATACAGTTTCTTTTAGTATACGAAGACACTTAATTTTTGACTGTGTATTGTATCTTAGGTTATGTGAATTACGGGCAGATACACAGCCATTTTCAGTAGACAGTTTTGGTATTTGAATACCTTTTGACATTCCTACCTCATCTCTTTTCCAACCTCACGCTTCTCATTTCAGTCTTATTTGTGTTATTTTTCCACTTCCTCTATCCAAGTAACCTTTAACCAGAGCTTCTTTCCCTTCAGAAAATTCCTTCTATTTCTAGCACCCAGTTCCTGCTGGTGATTAAAAGGTCCCCCAATGCTGTATGAATTGGAAACGTATGAGAGGGATTAATGGAGACATGAAGTCTTGAGTCTCAAGATGCTTTTGGGAACTTGAGGAAATTACTCACCCCTCTTGGGCCTTTATTTCCTCTCCATTCAGGCTGTGAGGTTAGCCCAACTGCCTGAAAGCAGTTGTGGTTCTAAAGTGTCCAGACTCCAGCCATGTAGAAATAGGAACAATAGAAAAGAAAATTGTATTTTGTAGATTGACTGCTTAATACAGTGGTGTTTGGTAAATGGAAAGTAGTTTCATTCCTTTAGAGTTCCATTATACCAATGACTCAAAACTGGAAGAGGTATTTTAGGATTCTTATTTGAATGTGAAAGTTGATTGGATGTGATTTAAGATGCTTTTTTTTGTTTTTAAAGAGAAAACGCAAGAATTCTTGGCTCTTTTACACATTTTTGAAAACCCCTCTTCTCATTAATACTAGTGACTTTTATGTTCTATTAACTGYTAAAAATGTGTTGCCCCATTGTTTGGATTGGGAAAAAAAGTTGCAACTTGCTGAAAAAATTATTAAAATATGGAATTAATTTGAACCTTGTTATAAAAATATAAATATTATATTAGCAAATATGGCTTATTGAAATATCAGTGTGGAATAATGACAAAGTGTTTTCTAGAGTTGGTACACCAAAGGTGTCAGTGGCTTCATTTCCTATTCAGTAAATTTGAATGAAAAGAATTTTGGATTGAAAATGGAGAGATTTGAATTCTGGCTTCATTTGTACCATAAGTTTCCTGAGATTTTCCATAACTCCTACCTTGTCTAAGATTTAGATTTTCATCTTATAAATGGTAGATTTTTTGAGCTCCTAACTTGCATCTCACATTTTCTCTGCATTATTTGTACATGAGCATCTTCAATTTTCATGGCCACTTGGGAGGCAGGACTGAAATACTTTTTACCAGTATGCTGCCCACCTGGTCATACAGCTGGTTGGTGGCAGAACCATACTTTAATTGTAGGTGTCTCTCTGACTCTGACTCCAACTTAGTGCTTTTTGCATTCCAGCGTAGTGTCTCGTTGCTAATGTTTGTGTCTCTTCACCTTAGAAAAATTGTTTTCCTGTTATTCTGATTAGTGTCAAGAGAGAATAAGCCACTCTCTCACCTCTCACAGAAAGTACCGAAATCCCACCCTATATGATGAAGTGTCCAAGCAATGGTTTATGTAGCAGACTTCCTGCAGACTGTATAGACTGTGCTACAAATTTCTCCTGTGTCTATGGGAAGCCTGTCACTTTTGACTGTACAGTGAAACCTTCTGTTACATGTGTTGTAAGTACTGCAGCTTACCTATTCTAAATAAATGCATTGTAAATTCCCAAGTTAAAAAGTGTTGTTAGATTTAACTGTTGGAGGGAGATTCTGAAATTGTTTTTGTATTCTTTTATAACAGCCCTGTAAAGTAAATAAATAGAAATAAATTTTTAAATCCTGTATTCCTTTCCTTATCAAGTTGCTACTGTTCCAATTATGTTGGTAACTGACAAGCCAGTTGGTATTATATGAAAATGTGCAGGGCAGAAATGTTGTTTTGTAAGACCTGGAGAAGGTCTCATTTTACTAGTGTATCTGAAGTCGGTGTAATTCCTGCAGATGGGTTCTGTGTTCTTGGTAGTGAGAGCTGGTATAATATAGAGGCATGAAAATGTCTTTTTACATAGATGAGCTTGCAAAGGAGTCAGTTCTTTGTAATGAGAAGATGGATTCAGTAAATGCTGGGATGACTGCATACCTCTCTGGAAAAAAAAAAAAAATTAAGTCCCTGTTTTGTCCAAAATAAATCCCAGATAGAAACATAGCTGAAAGAAAGGTAAGAGTGTCCTTTTTTGAGGGTCACTGAGCTGCAAGTTTGGAGGAGGATCCAGGTTCCCTGATCCCAGCTTGGTGCTTCTGTAAGCATAGCACATTCCCTTGCTTCTGAGTTCCAGGTCTTCCCTGCCATCTCCAGTTGCAGTCTGCACCTCAGGGTTTTCCCTCCTGCTGTCATCTCCATGAGCACTTGGCATGGTCACCCCGTAGGCAGCCCAACTGAGAAGGAACTACATGACACACAGCAATTCAGACATATATGCCATGTGATTGTTCTAAGCTGGAAAATGCTGGGAAAATTTGGAACTTGGAAGCAAGGCAGTATGCTATGCTCACAGAAGCATCAGGCAGCTATCTGTGACTATGACCTTATAAAATAATTTTTTTCTATACTTCTAAAATATATGTACTCTTA